GTGACCAGTTTATGTATAAGCTCTTTGTGAAAAGGTGGTGCCTACAGATGGTTGGCTGATAGGAAACAATAAATGTGCAAACTGCTCGCTTCCCTTGAGATCAGGGCCATAAAATGATCTCAAAAGATATGTGAAGAAAATTTCTGTTTAACTTGTTTCTGTGTTGTGGGCCAGATATGTCTGTCTGTAGGTGCCCTGTACATGTTTCTGTCTCCACTCTTCTCTGGACTGCATTCTGTCCCTGCAAAGACTCAACAACCCCAGAGACCCTGGTAACTTTTATTCCACCATGGGACAAAGAGACTAGGCAAGGTCCAAGTGTAAAAAAGGTGATTTGTAATTAGAGTATCACTAGTTTCTCAGTATTGGTCTTCTCTCCAGATGAACGAATGATCTCAGAAGCTGTGGCTGGGGAGCAAGGCTTTTCAGCATCCACAAGTGCAAAATGTAAGAGGAAATTAACAAAATGAAAACAGATTTCTGGAGGAGACAAATTCTTTCTCTCCATCTTCCTTTGGCACAAGGTGTAGGTGAGGGATGAAGACTGTGTTGAGAGTGGACTAGGGAAGCCAGAAATCCATGAACATGATGACAGGAATGGCAGGCAGTTTCCCATCTCATCTTACTCATTTTTCTGAGGCCCATTTTGAAATTACTGTCTTTTCCTTTCTCCCTCCCTTCCCTTCTACCCTTGCTATATAGTTCAGGCTAACTTCCAACTCATAAACTTCCTGACTCAGTCTCCTGAGTGCTGGGATTCCAGGCATGGCCACCATGCTCAGCTTTAGGGACTATCATTTTCACGAGACTTCCTCAATCTCTGTTGATTCTACGTCTTTACCTGAGTGTGGCCCAGTCAGCACCATGCTGACTCTAGTGAAGTGGGGGAAGAGGTCAGATAGCTGGGGTCTGTGTCTTTCAAGGTGACTACTCAGTGAGATCGAACATTTTGGCAGTGCAGCTATTGCTCCAATTATTGATGTGAAACTCGGCTTTGCCCTTCATGTTTGTATTAGTTCAAACTGCTGTGACAAAATATCAGCAATGGGTTTCTAGATCATAGATACAGACTGGAAGGATGGTGAGACTAGGAAGTCAGTATGGCTAGGTCCCAGAGAGCATCCTTTCCTCGACTTGCAAGCAGCCAGCTTCTCCCACCTACTCACTCTCAAAGCAGGAGTGCACTTAAGATCAATGGGATAATATTGAATAAAGAAGGCTGTATCTGTCTTTTGAAATCATGCCATAAAGGCAGCTGCCTCTTCTATTGTTGATGCAGTCAAATGCTAAATTTATCCTCATCTAAGTTTGTAGGCTAATAACTATAGTCAGTGCTTGCTCACATTCCATTCAATCTTTCCACCATTCCTCTCAGTTAGGTTGCTGTTACATGCTAAATTTAAAGATGAAGAATTTTAAAAAAACCAGCAAACTCAAAAAAGTTGAATAACTTTAGGGAAGATTAATATAATAAGCAAGAGGAAGACACAGGATTCTAGCATAGGTATCTTTGATTCCTGACGAATAAACAACTGGATAATTTATCACAAGGATCCTTTATCTTTTGTCTTTTATCAAAAGCTATGCCAGCGAAGAGTTAAATGTATCTGCATCATCACTAGCCTACCAGGTTCCCACCCACTCATTCCTGCAAATAAAAAATTGCAGAAAAGGAACAGAACCAAACGGGCTGTTAACTGAGTTGACAAAGGTGATCCAATTACTTTGAAGCTGATGGAGATTTCCTCAGTAAGCACTGTCCTTTTAGTTTTCTGAAGGCACCAGATGAGAAGTCTTAATAAGACTCACGGATCCTCAGACACCTGTGAGCCTCACCACTGGCTCCCACTTCTCAAGGGATGAGAGGGTGATTTCTGATTACAACCATTAGGGAATATAAAACAGAGAGCTGGCACTCCAGTGTCATCATGCTGATCAAATGGCCTCATTCTCTGTGTTCAGTTACACTATTCAGTACATATTGCCTTCCCATACTGCAAAGGCAGACATGGGAAGGCCAAGCGAGGCTTAGGCAGCACTACTCCCTCATTTAGAAACCTGCTCCAGGTACAAGTACAAGGCCCTGTTAAAGCCACAGTGCTCTCTGTCTCCCTCCCACCCTCCCACCCTTCCTCCCTCCCTCCCTCCCTCCCTCCCTCCCTCTCTCTCTCTCTCTCTCTCTCTCTCTCTCTCTGTCTCTCTCTCTCTCTCTGTCTCTCTCTCTCTGTCTCTCTCTCTTTCTCTCTCTCTCTCTAATGCACCTACTACTGGTCCATTGCGTTTATTCTCAACTTCTATGCTGAATTCCTAACTTCCAATATAGCAGAAAGCGACTTTATTGCAAATTAAGCCGTTGCACAGCTAAGTAAGATATGGTCATAAGGAGGGTAGGGGGACCCTGACCCTGATGGATATTTTAAAATGCAGTAGTGAAATTTAGACATAGTAGTAGGCACAAAAGGGGAGCAGCATGTGAGACGAAGAGCCAATTGATAATACTACACATTAACAATGGTCAGAAAACACCAGATACCAGGAACAAGTCATGGAAGAGACTCTTCTCACACCCTCAGAAGGAACCTAGTGCACTTAACATGTTCATCCCAGACCTTTAGACTTTAGAACTTTGGGACAACATATTTCAACCTATTGGTTGTAGAAGCTCTAGAGTGTAAATACAAAGTCTTTGAACTGTATTAGCCTACATTGTTACAGGAAGTTGAGGTTCAGAAAGTAAAGCAACGTTCCCAAGGTTACACAGCTGGGGAGAGGTAAAGTAATGGTCCCGGGAAACTGTGCTAGGAATAGCTGGGGAAGACCAGCATTTCCTCCTTTATCATCCAGATGTAGCGCACACCCTCTGTCAGTTTGTAAGGCAACCAGATCATCCAGGTCATCCTCACCACTAGCTCTGCAGCTAACGTCCTTCCTTGGTGTTTGCTATGTTTCTTTTTTAACAGCTAACTGAATCAAATCAAATGCTAAGAGGTAACTTAGAAAAGTGAAGTTTCTTACTAAAATTGTCTTATTATATGTTATTTATTTAGGTCAGTGTGTGTGTGTGTGTGTGTGTGTGTGTGTGTGTGTGTGTGTGTGTGTGTTGAATTTGGCTTTTTTTCTATGCTAGGCAGACCAGATTTCTCCTGGGCTTCTTCTCATCACCAGTAGTTTTTTCCTGTCATTTCTTTTCTTCTGTAGCCAAGATTGCTGGTACTCATACTTCAAGGGTCATGGCATTCCTGTGAATGACTTTTGACCAGGTAAAGAAAAGAACCCATCCTCACTCCCAGGGCACCAAAATAGCCATCAGTTTGGACTTAGTTCCATTCCTAAATCACTGGGGGATTGATGTGTTCAAGATACACTATATACACATATGAAAAGCTCAAAGAAATAAAAAATATTTGTAAAAAGATAAAGCCAAGCATGAGTCTGGGTGAGAAAGGCAGCAGACAGCATTCCACCATGGTTTCTGACTGAAGTTCTTGACTGAGTTCCTGCCTTGAGTTTCCTTGATAATGGACTGTGACTAGGACATATGAGATGAAATGAACCTTTTCTTCCCTGAGTTGCTTTTGGTCAGCATGCTTCTCATAGCAACAGAAAAGAAACTACCAACAACTGTTTATAAAACTGGGCAGCCAGGAACTTGCAGAAGCAGAGGCAGTGGATACAGTCACCCTACCACAGAGATCAGGCAAAATAAAGACACCAGGAGCTAGTAAGTAGGTTAATACTAGATGCTATGCTTTAGATCTTAAATGTCCTTCACAAGCTTTGTTTGGAATGCTTGGTCTCTATCTTGTGGTGATGTATTGAAGACTGTGGGAACTATATGATGTGGGGGCTGGCTGGTGGAAATAGTCACTAAGGGGGAGCTATTGAAGGCTATACTTGCTTCTGATACTGGCTTGTTTCCCCGCTACTACCTGCCTCCTGTTTCCACTTGCATGGGTAGATGTAAGCCTCTCCTACTAGCATACCACCTAGCCATGATGGATTGAAAGCTTTGTGATATCATGAATCAAAATAAAGCTCCCTTCCTTAATCTGATTGGCCAGCAATTTGATCACAATGACAACAGTATGTTGGACAAAAAGTAATATGGTTCCAGCAAGGTGGGCATGATAGACCCCAGACAGGAAGTTCTTTATTTCATCTCTTGGGGGTCTCAGGTAGAACAGGAATTAGTACTGGAAGTCAGCCCAAAACCCACACACTTAACTCTTAAACTCTTCACCATTCTCAATTTCTAGGAGAAGCTCATATATGACATAAGTGGCAATAGGATCAACTGTTTTCCTTTATGGCACCAATGACTCTGGGTCCTTGGTGTCCCAAGCCTTCTTTCTTTGGTGTGATTTTAATTACCCAATTTACAGATGATAAAGTTGGGGTCCTGAGAGCCTGGTTTGTCAAATGTCACATACATAGTAAGAGACTGTTCTGGGCCTTCAGTTAATTGTGTCTCATTCTTAGAATTATGCTGGCTATAGAAGGCTTTACTCTTTAGACCTGTCCTCTGCTGGATATACTGCTTATAGGTTAGACTTACTGGACTCAATACTACTTAAATGGCGATGTGAGCCCGTGGTGGCCTGGTGCTTAGAACAAACTGATTTGCAACAACTGGGCCAGTTCTGCCGATGAGGCACAAAAGAAAAGCCAGGCTACCAGCTTCCTTGCTGTGTGGTTTTAGAATGGGTACCCTCCAAAGGTCTTCACTATGGCTGGAAATGGGTGGTGAGTGCAGTGGTAGGGAACATTTTGTGCTGTCTAAAGTCATTTGGCAAAGTTTCTGGATACCAGTAGGCATGGAGAAGAGAAAGAGCTTCAAAATGTAATTTCTTTAGAACGGTGCTCGAATGCAAATCACCTGAGGCTAAGTTCTTTTGGGAGGCTGGCGGCATTCAGGCTCTACTGGAAGAGCAGGCAAGTATTTTCATTGGATTTATGATTTTATCAACTTACAAAGGTTACTTTTTAATTTCCAGTGAACCACAATATTATTACCGGGGTTAAATAATGCCAGAACAATTCACGGAAAGGGAAACATTCAATTAATCCAGTCTGGGCATTGAACCTGGTTTCCTAAAAGCAGGTGGGTCTCTTGTAAGTATGATCTTTTTCATGAGAACTGAGCTTGGAATCCCTGGTGATTGATGAGGGCAGGGCAGAGGTAGAAATACTCTCCATTTAACACTGTGATTCCTAAGACTTTTCTCATTTCCAACATTTACTAGTGAAATGCTGACATGAACCATTCCCCTTTTCTGCATCAAGTTTAGGCACATTTCCTAAATGTGTTTTTCCTTAGCACAGAATAGCAGAGACAAGTTTGTAATTATTTATCAATAATGTATAATTACTGCTTTGGAGCCTTCTCTCCACTGGGCTCTAAACAGCACAGAAGTAAGGGCCAGGTTGGTTGTGTGCATCCCTCCATCCATCCACCACAGTAATGTGCACACAGTGGATCTTGATTGACAGTTGTTCATTGAATTTTCCTTTTCAAAGAGGAAAAAATGAACATTCCAGAAAATATAGACAGAATTAGTATTGTTTCTTTACTGAATACACTGTAGGGAAACAAACACTTTATCCTATTCAAGTTGATGGCATACTACAATCTGATAAGCAAGCCAGATACCCTGTCCATTCTGAGTACCAGATCAATCTCCCCTTCCAAAGGCAGAGCTTCAGCTGTCACTGTGATTGCATGGGGTCACTGGGAAAGCCAAAGATGATATTGTACAGAAAGTGTCCAATGCCCAGAATGGGAGACAGTGAAATACATGTGTGGAGCTCCCCGTAGTTTTTTAATGAATCCTTAGCCAGGCACCGTTGTTTATACTGGATTGCCTTCTGATTGGTATCAGCGTGGGTCTTCCCACTCATGGCCTGCTACATCACTCATACTTTTACTTCTGGTTTCTTGTCTCAGAATTCACTATCGGCTTTTTGTGCATTGGTGGTATTATTTTGCCTTTCAATCAGAAGGGATTAATTTTAAACAGTTTCTCTGGCTAACTGTACTAAACAACCAGAGTCTTACAGAAACATTTCATCCACTTATTCTTGCTCTGAACACACACACACACACACACACACACACACACACACACACACACACACACACACGCATGCACACACACCACACACACACAGTTTTATTTTGTGTGTTTTTCAGGCTGGAATGTGGCTGTAATTTCTGAGAGGGGTTTGCTTGGTGCCTACGTTCAGAGGGATGATTTTTGCAGGGTTGACTCATTAAATTTTATTTAATCAAATTCAACAAATATTTGTTGGGCACCTTCTGTACACAAAGAGCTCACTATACTTTTCACTTAAAAGAAGTCTTTATTTTATATCAGGGTTCTTGAGGTTACAGTCCTTCTCTTCACTGCTGCAGTTTCAATGCCTAGCACAATAAATGTCCCATTAATGCTTTTTTGGATATATGACAACAGAGAAAAGTCATAGGGGTAATGATATTTATAAGTCAAATTTCCTAGCACTCAGAAGGCGGAAGGGCATCACATATATAACAAGCGTATGTTTTGATCTTTGTGTGAGTGTTAATTCATCTCCTGGGGGACATTATTTACCACCAAGTCAGCCATCCTCTTTAAGACTTAATTTACTCATCAATAAAATGGAAAATAATGGGCGACTTTGAGATCTATGATGTTGACGAAGTGCTTAACAAAGTGTTTGGTACAGTGAGAACTCCATGTGTTGAGAGCAAGTTTCTATGCTGCAATTCACATTGAGGGTTGCTGGCCAGGTCTCTTGCATGTGGTAGACACTTAAAGACGTCCAGTGAATTTGGTATAGGGGTTCAAAGACGGAGGAGTCACATGAGATGGTGTGATATGGGGTTGAGGAGGACATGCTGAAGGTAAGAGGCTTGAATGTGATGAGAAGCCTGTCCCCAGGGTTCCAATCATGGCTGGCACACCTGGTACTTGGAAAGATCTTATCTGAGAGGGGCAGGAGGAAGAGAGTGCTCAGCTTTAGTGTGTGGCCCAGGACTTCTGGTTAAATGGGTACCTATGAGGCAGGGTTTTATGTTCCAATGACTTGGATGCTCCTGAACCCTAGCCCTATTCTTTGTTGTTCCCTTAAGGTCTAGAAATAACAGCAGGATTGTAGAAACCCTATACGGGCTTTTTAAAGACTCAGGAATCTCACTATAGTCCTCAGAGATTGTGATTAACAAGCAATAAAAATGACAAAAAAGGGGAGTGGGGAGAAGTCTCTCTCTCTCTCTCTCTCTCTCTCTGTGTGTGTGTGTGTGTGTGTGTGTGTGTGTGTGTGTGTGTGTGTGTGTGTACAGACATATAGATTCAGGAAAAACCACCTATTTAGAAGAGGTTTCCTATCTGGTTTTCTGCCTAGCCCACCCTGAAATTCTGAGCTTTTGGAGACAAAGAAATAGAAGTGTATCTTCTATGAAATCATGTCCCTCATACCTTGATACCATCTCCTTTGAGTATGTCCCTTTTACTCTTTTGCTCCTACTGTAGATCTGGTTTGAGTTTTTCCAAGATGAAATAGCCAACCACGTATCTTCAGTTTCCGGCCCCACTGGCACCTCCATTTTACTTTAATTACCCAATTACTGAAGCTATCCAATCTATTTATTCAGGCAATCAAGACTTTAAATGCATGGATTTATCATTGCCTCAAATCACCTGTCACTGCAATAGAACAAAAATAGAAAGGTAACTAGGGGCTGCAAGTGTAAACCTCACCACAATTCTCTGGGTCAGATAATTATTTTATAGGCTCCTATGGGAAGGAAAAATGGAGGGGAGAGTGAAAAGCATGATGGGGTGTAAGAGAGTGTGTTTCAGGGTAGGGTTTGGCCTATGAAGAAGGGATATTGGCATTCTGTCCTCTCTAATAGATTCTCAGGGCTTGGTGGTGGAGGTGGGTGATGTCAGAGATTAAGAAGATGGCCTATAGACCACAGTGTTGCTGGAATTAAGCTGTTCTAGACTTGCCCAAAATAAGCCCCCTTTCTCATTTGCCTAATGCCCAAAATGTGTTTGAAAACAGACTGCTTTTGTCAACATGAACAGCTTTGCCTTTTTTAGACATTCACTGTTTGGGGTATTTTATTCCAATTTATCAATTTTTAAAAATATTAAACACAGAACTCCAAGGTGTTATGTTCGGTGAGGGATAATAGTCTTTGTCCCTCTGAGCAGAGGATTGCTATTTTTGGTTCTTCAGGTTTTTGAAAGCCCCTCTGTAGAGTTCTGAAGGCTATGTAAGTCACATCTTGCTTGTCGGGCATTCTGACTGTAAATGTTTAATAAACCTGGTGAGAGAATTTATATTAAGCCCGTATCTATGTCTAATAAGACTAAGTATATTTATTTTGTGAGTTTTTTAAAATTTGAGAACAAAAACACAATTGGTTTTAACCTCATGATTTTATGGTTAAATTCGACCACAGATACCAATTTGAATTCCAACAGAACCCCCAATATGTTTACTACTTTACTTCAAATGTGGCTGCTGTATCTTCATTTTAGTAGTCACAGTTATAATCCAGAAGAGGGTTGATAGAGAGCCCTGGAAGAAGCCACTGGTCACTAACTAATGGATTGTTGTTACTCTATCAATCAGGTTGGGCTTTGTGTCTCAGTCCAAGGCATATTCGTGAGCCAGAAGATGTCCGGAGCACTGCCATTGTTTAGTTCTTAGCATGAAAGTAGGATAGAATAAGCTTGCCAAAAGTGTTTTAGTAAAATTCTACTCTAAAAGAGAAGTCAATCAACTGTAGATCCACCTATAACTTAATCTACATTTTTGGCATATACTATATCATATAGCAGACATGTACTCATTTTCACATATAAACTCAACAGTTCTCTGGGTATAAATTACTATAACTTATCTAGCTGTTTTCTCCAAAGCATTCTAACACTCTTGCCTATTTTCTTTGCCATTGGGTTTATCTAATGTCCTCACTCTAGCATATTTTCACCTGTGAGTTTTGTCAAAGCAAATTCATTGGCAAGATTGTGAAACTTGTGAGGGTTCAGCTTCATCTGCACTTGACAGCATGAAGACATTTTGGGTAAGACTTATTGTGTCACCTTCTAGAAAATTCTAACTCTAGAGAGAACCAGATTATAGAGAACTGTCGATTACAGCTTCGTTTGCTTTCTTCGGCTCAGGTGGAGGGGACAAATGGATTCCTGCCTGACTGCAAAATATGATATATTATTATAAACAGAGTCTTGAATTATAGAAAATACTAGTTAGCATAATTACATTACCATATTTTTATATGGAGATTATTATTCAAACACCAAACAGGCAATCTTCTATTGGAAAAAAAGCCAATAAAACACTCTCAATCCAGACTTCCACTGTTATGTATGTGTCATAGCACCAAATGATTCTAAAGTTTAAAACCCATTACATTACAAGAGCTATTCACTTCAAGTAGGTGGCAATTTGCTTCTTTTTTTTCATCTCACGTTTTGATAGCTATTCACCTCTATCAATTCTTATCTTGCCCATTCTTTAGAAACCAATTGCAGCTTAAAAAGTGCCCATCTACTTCTGATTGAAATCGTCACATGCTGGTTTTTTAAAAACTATTTTTCAATCTCCTAATAAAATAGATTGCCTCCCGGTGCTGGTTGGTAAACCTGTTTCCAAGGACCTCTCTGCCTCTTGGATATCTGTTGCATTTGGTTCTGTCCAAGAAATCCCAGATTTCTACTGGTCCTATCCACATGTGCAAAATAGTTTAATGGATTAAAATAGTTTATAATTGGACAAAATATTGGCAATAACAAATGTATGCAAATTGGCGGTTAAGTTAAACTGCTCAGCCTTTTCAGAGTTCATGAAATCTAAAATCAGTCTTAAAACTTTGTTTGGCATGTTAACACTGTTTTTGTTTTTGTTTTCTTCTGTTAACATCAAGTTGACAGACTGAAAGTTATCTGTAAAGTGTGGGGAGTCATCTCTACCACCACAAGAGATAGACTCTCAGCTTTTCAGTCTTGGAATAAATACTTATCAAGGACTCTCCATGTGGGGTCTAGTACATGAAGGAAAGGTTCTGTGTAA